GAGCGGCCACTGCACTCCAGTCTGGGCGACAGAGTGAGACTCCGACTCAAAAAAAAACAAAAACAAAAACGGGTGGCTTGAGGCTGCAGAGTCTGGGCCCATGCTGTCAGCAGGTTAACCTGACCCTTATACCCAGCCACCTCCTCCCCACTCACTTCCAATGACCAGGCAGGGTGACCATAAGACCCAGACTAGCGAACAGGATGAAGCCGAAGTTACAGGGAGGAGTGAGACTTCCAATAAGGCCTATTCATTTATTTACTTATTTTTGAGTCTGGGTGTCACTCGGTTGCCCAGGCTGGAGTCGAGCGACACAATCACGGCTCACCACAGCCTCGACCTCCTGGACTCTGGTGATCCTTCTGCCTCAGCCTCGCAAGTAACTGGAAGTACAGATGTGTACCACAAAGCCAAGCTAATCTTTTTATTTTTGTTTTTATTTTTTAGTTGGAGTCTCACTCTGTCACCCAGGCTGGAGTGCAGTGGCACGCTCACAACTCAGGTGATCCTTCTGCCTCAGCCTTCCAATTAGCTGGAACTACAGGTGCACACCGCCACGCCCGGCAAATTTTTGATTTATTGTAGAGATGAGGTCTTGCCAAGTTGCCCCGGCGGGTCTCGAACCCCTGAGCTCAGGCAATCCTCTCGCCTCTGCCTCCCAAAGTGCTGGGATGACAGGCCTGAGTCACCGTGCCCGGCTAATTGTTTTATTTTTTATTTTTGGAGACAAGGTCTTGTTATGTGGCCCAGGCTGGTCTTGAACTCCTGGGCTCAAGCAATCCTCCCGCCTCTGCCTCCCAAAGTTGCTGGGGTGACGGGCATGAGCTACCATGCCTGGCCCCAGTAAAACCTTTTTAAAGGAAGAGACTCCACTGGCTTTGCCTTTTGCCCTTTCTCCTTCCTCCTGTTGAGAAGTGTCACAGTCACGAGGAATGAGATGACAGAATGAGGCCAAAAGCCTACAAGCAAAAGGTGGCTCGAAAGATGAGAGCCTGGGCACCTGATGGCATAATTGGGCCCCCAGACCACGTGGCCCAGTCTCAGCTTTTTATATGAGACCTGTAAACCCCTTTCGGTTTAAGCTACTCTGCGCAGGTGTTTGGTTCCATGCGGCTGAACACAGTGGGCTCACAACACGCTCACACGACACTCCCAGACTCGGACAGACTCGGGTTTGGATCTTGGTTGGTGGCATCTGAAATGTGGGCTCCACCCACGACCTCCACTCCCCTCCAAAATGCTTCAGTCAAGGTCACTGTATGTTAATTAAGGCAAGTGATGACAGCTCTTGTATTGGACAAATGCTCAAGTCTCCGTGACTTGACAAATGAAAGTTTATTTCTTGCTCATGTCACCATGCGGGGCGGGTTGGTGGGGAGAGCTCCCTTTAGAGGCCCAGGAGCCTTCATCTGTCCTCTGGGTGGAGCCTCCATTGTGGAAAAGGTTTGGAAAGGGAGCGTGTCACGTCCAACCGTTCTGCTGGTCAGGAGTCAGCCACGTGGCCACACCTACATGCAAGGGAGACCTCTGTGTCCCCATATCCAGTGCCACTTCTTAACCTAATTTCACACCGCCTCTCTGCAGCACTGGACAATGTTACCCTCCCTCGTCTTTCTGAAACCCTGTCCTTGGCATCCTCCCTAGCTTTCTCTGAGTTTTCTCCAACACTCCTAGCCACCCCTCTGCCTCTACCTGCCTGAAGTGCTCCCTCTCTTCTCACCCTGTACAAGCTCCCCTTTACTAGCTACCTCAGTCACCCCAATTATACTCATCACCTTCAATGTGTCTCCAGACTGACCTCTCTCATGAACTCAAGACTCTGCCATGAAACAGCCTCCTGGGACCAAGCGCGGTGGCTCACATCTGTAATCCCAGCACTTTGGGAGGCCAAGGCAGGAGGACTGCTAGAGCCCAGGAGTTCAAGGCCAGCCTGGGCAACATAGCAAGACCTAGTCTCTACCCAAAAAATCAAAACAATTAGCCAGGTGTGGTGGTATGCACCTATAGTCCCAGCTGCTGGGGAGGCCCAGGTGGAAGGATCATCTGATCCCAGAAGTCGAGGCTGCAGTGAGCCGTGATCATGCCACTGCACTCCAACATGGGTGACAGAGTGAGACTTCGACTTTAAAAAAAAAAAAAAAAAAAGCCCCCGGGCATCTTTTTCG